GTTGGACACTACTATACAAACTATGTTACTACTGGACACTACTATACAAACTATGTTACTACTGGACACTACTATACAAACTATGTTACTACTGGACACTACTATACAAACTATGTTACTACTGGATACTACTATACAAATTATGTTACTATTGGACACTAATATACAAACTATGTTATTTTTATCATATTCGGTCACTATTATATCATTATTTATTATATTCAGTAGTGATAATACAGTTTGTTTTTTTAAGCGAAAAGATCCATAACAGGTGGGCTCTTTACGCTTTGCTCAGAATAGGGATCGAGCTCAGAATTTTAATGATATGAGCCCTCAAGCTTAACACCGGGATGCGAATTTCATATTTAATTAGGACTAAGTCTCTCCTACAGTATTCTCATTATTGACAGAGACATAATTTGAATTCTTTATGTAAACGTTTTAAAGAAAAGTGCTCATGTTTGGACAGCTCTGACGATTCATATTATGTTAACTTTTTTTCATTTTTATTACCTCAGTGTTTTTAACTATTTTGTTTAATATTTGTGACTACTCATCATTTATAAAATGCCTTGATGTTCTAATTGTACTTTAAAGTGAGATAAATGTTTCGGTGCAGAAGTCACGTTTTAAAGTTCCCCCCACCCCAGTGGCTCCGTACTAACTATAAGAATTATAACGCTAAAAACTGGGTTTCGATAGCCGTCGTTGACACAGCACAGATAGCCTTTTGCCGAACAATCAAACATCTTTTAAAAGTACCTTTTTTTTTAAATATTTTCTTCTTGTATTATCGTACTCTTACTCCTATTTTAACCATCAAATAGAAACACGTGATAAAACACGAAATAAAACCACGCGTAAAACACCACATTCAATGACTGAAGTTATTAACATCCTTGAAAGAAGGCGTCGATCTTAATAGATCGTTAGGATGGCGTTCGCGCCATTAATTAATGTGCACTAGGTTTTTCTATGTGTATCTAGCCCAGTGCGCGTATTTTTACTCTCATAAGAGGGATATTTTTATATCAAATAGGATATCAAACCTTGTCTCCATGTCAGATTATTTAAAGCTCTGTAACTGGTACAACTAAAATTACGAATGAAAATCATTTGATTTTGTACCAAACTTGACCATCACACGGATTTGACATCAAAGATT